TTGTGTACTCGATTTCCATCGGCGTCGGTACTGCGTGCTGCATTCGTGTCGGCAATGCACTCGGTGCAAGCGAACCCAACCGAGCCCGGGTCATCTCGAACGCGTCACTCGCGGCTACACTGGTCATCGTGATGGTGGTGTCCCTGGCCTTCGTGGTAAGCCACAAGAACGTGCCCGGTTTGTTTCTAAATGACCGTCTTGCCATCGAGTACGTCCTACGTGCTTCCGTATCGTCATCATCTCATCGTTGGTCTCGCAGAGCCTTCCAAGACGTTGTCGGGGTTTTCGCCGTCTTTATCGTTGTCGACGGGATGAATTCGACCTGCCAAAGCATCCTACGTGGCATGGGCAAACTCACTCTTGGTACGAGATCCCCTGCGGCCAACGGTTCCGCCACTCGTGTCCTTTTGTGCATTAGGGGCTGTCGTGAACGCGATGGCGTTTTACGCGGTGGGGCTGCCGCTTGTGGGTCTGTTTGCTTTTCAATTGGACTGGGGCTTGCAAGGCACGTGGCTTGGCCTAACGACGGGACTGTCCCTTGGCGTGTCGGCCTATCTTTTGCTGATCCAGCGCACAGACTGGCGGGCACGCGCCGATGAAGCGATTCTTCGCAACGAAGACGAGAAAGTGTATGCAGTCGTGTAAAACCATCCAGGGCGACTCCTGTATTTAACACGGAAAACGGCGGACCCGGCAGAAAAATGTCTGGAGTGTGCTGCACCCCTTTAGTGTTTCGAGTTGGTGGTTGCTTTCAGTTGTCTGAAAAGTCGCGAGAGTTTGCGACAACTTCGCCACGTTCGACGTGCCAAACGAGTGCCGTCGCCACGACGGTGGCCCCAAGACCTTCACGTTGCATGCAACCGTGTTACGGGCTGCGCTGGTCACGAAAGTGCCCCCATCACGTTGGTGTTTTCTTGAGTCGGCCAACTCCCAAGCCATGCCAACGTCATTCTGGCCTGGTGACGAGAATTCCCACAAGTGTTCTCGCCGTTCGAATTGATGTGCGTGACCAGCCATCAATCGCAAATAAACACGTCGTTGCAGCCGACGACGAGTGTACCTCATATGTCGCTGTGCGTCACAAAGGAAAGTTTCCACGCGTGGTATTTTCCATGCTGCCTCGTGCGTCGGTGTGCGCGATTTGTTTCGAACCGTGTCGGCCGTCCAACTGGTTTGCCAAACTCGTGCGTGCGCTGGGCAGTGCAGGGGGGGATGGAGACGCGTGGTCCCTCGGGGGCTGCCAACATGTGTGTTGCTACAAGTGCATTCGTCGTTGGGTGGAGGACGTCGCAGAGTCCCACCGGCTCGACTTGCTTGTGTGTCCCGTCGACAACTGCCACGAAAAGATTGAGAGCGCCCATGTCAAGTGCCTGGGGCTGTCGCATGCCGCGCGGATGTTTGTGGACCAAGTCGACCGGTGGCGGCACGGCACGGGGCTGAGTTGTTCGAAATGCCGGTACATCAACTCCGTTAAGTCATCGTTGGCGAAGCTCAAGTGCGCGTTGTGCAAGACGGAGTTGTGCTCTACATGTGCCAGCGTGTGGCATCCGTTGATAACATGTGAAGCCTTCCACGCGGCGCAACAGACTCAAAGCGAGCTGACTGACGACGACGTTTTGTTTGTCCACTTGGCCAGAGTCAAGTGGCATTACCAGTCGTGCCCGCATTGCGGTGTCTTTACGGAGCGCCGATCGGGGTGTGCGGCCATGACATGTAGCTTGTGCTTGAAGCGATGGAATTGGGGGAGCGGGTGATGTCTGCAGCGATGGCAAGTTTGGATTGAAGAGCACGGGATGGATGACAACACGCTAAAGTGGCGAAGTATGTACTACTTCATACTGCAAAGTGTAATGAGCTCATAGAGCGCAGGTCGACTTGGCTAGTCGTTCTTTACGCCGCCTTGCGTCGACGCGGTGCTGGTTCACAACATTGCGGTGGCGATGCAAGTCGCAAAGTGTGTGGAGTTGGCCGTTGGTCTTGACAGCACGCCGTAGATTGCATTTGCCATTGCGATAGCGGCACTGGTATGGAGGGAGTTGGGTCGTGGGGGAAATGGTCGGACTCGGGCTACGACATCGTGGTCCTCCCGCCAGAGTGTCGTTTGTAGGGTAGAGCTGCGGTGTCATACGCGACAGAAGGAGGCGCGACATATGAAGGCGGACTTCGAGCGGGCGCTTTCTCGAAGTGTGCATGCGATGCGGTAAGGCCGACGAAGGAGCAGAAGTCGTTGCCGTGACGTCGTCGTGTTGTGGGTTCAGGAGGTCGCGGATAGCCATTGGTGAAGTCGAGCCACTGCACAACGTCGACGCGAACTGTAACTTCGAGTTGTGTTCATGACTGGAAGGAAACATTGCGGGAGATGCCAGCAGAATCATTGCTGTGGTCGATCTGGAAATGCGGCCGGCCTCATGGCCCCCTGCGAGTCGTGCCACCAACATTCGGGGAAAGGTTGTTGGTGATGGTCTCTCTGCTGTGTCATCCATGTCGACCAATCCGATCGATTCCATTCCGAATGTCGGTCGGCAATCAACCTGCATTCTCATCTTGCCGAAGCGACCGGAGATGACGTGGCATGCGGACGTGCAAGAAGACAAACACTCCTGGATTTACACTCTTCCTCCACCCAAACAAGGAAACTGTACCCTTGATGCATGAATTCAACGTCAGTCTGCTCATTGTAGTGCTTGCTTCATGTGAATCGATTGCATCAGCGTTAGGCTGCTTTTTGAAGCGCCTGTTTCATGTGGATGGATTGCAAATCGAAGTACTTGCGCCGATGGTCGGCTGCTGTCCACAAAGAAGCTTCCTTGTTCGACCAGTTCACGCACAACTTGATGAGGAGCACGACGTGTTCCAGCAGCTACACATCGTGTGTCAGAGTATACAACCAAGGCCACAACGAGATGGAGTCGCATACCACGACCAAACAACACTTGTACACATCCGACAACGTCGGCGCCAGCTTCGGCAGTTCGTATACGCCCAAGAGACCACAATTGACCAGGACGGCGACGATAGAGATCATAAAGAGCACGCGTTCCCACACCCCGATGCCGTGGACGTGCTTTGCGTACGGCCGCTGCATGCCGTAGACGTTGACGAGCTTAAACAGGTCGGATCGGGCTTCAATGACGTTGTTGAGGAGCGCAAAGAGGGGCGCCAGGGGAAACACCGGGGCGTACAGGGTTACGTACCCGTACTGGATCATCATTTCCTGCAAAGGTGCATGAGCCATCAGGGTCGCGCGAGTGATCATCACCTTGAAGTCCGAGAACGTGTCGGCGTAGCGGCTCTGCTGCTTTTGCAGGAGGATGTGCTCTACGCGCTCTTCTTTGGTCGAGTGGACGTGATCGTTGGCGTGACCAGAATGAAGCCCTCCGTGCAACCACACCATCAAGTACGGCATCGCAACCTCCTTCACGTTGTCGAGGCACTGCATCCCGACCATAAGAATCCACAGACGGCGGCGCAGGCGCTCCATATCTTGCGCCACGAATGCCAAGTACAACAACGACGCGTTGATGTTGATAAAATGGAACGGCATGCGCTTGATGATGAGTTGGTTTTCGAACTCGGCAGCCTACACCGCTCAGTCTCAGCTCGCGAACGATCGATCGTGTGGAAGTCGGACCGTGCGGTAGTTTTCCAAATTCGTGAGCCATCGCGCCAACCGCAAGTACAACATATCCATCACTTCGATCAGAATCGCATTCAAGACACTAGGGCCTTGCAGAATCCACCCGCACATAGTCGTGTCATTCTCGTCCTGTCGATCGTAGCACATGGGAAACCAGTGCCGGTTGTGGTCGTAGAAGAGCTCGAGCCCCAAGACGTAGAGCAGGACAAAGGAGCACATGAGGAGTACGAGGGGAAGCGTCACACATAGGCGAGTCGTCATGCCTACGTCCAAACCAATGAGGCCCGCCAGTGCACGCAGTGCCACGCACGCTTCCAGTGCGGGGTGTCAAATACGAGTTCGCCAGTGATACTATCTTGCATCCACTCGCCCACGAATGCCGCTCTATCACGAACAAGTGATGGCAATGATACGCGCGGTCATGATCATACCTGGGCTCGCTGTACGTGTCGTCGATGGGCATGTACTGCCAAGTGAACTCCGTGGCGCGCTGTGTCTTTTTCCACGCATCGACAAAGATGGATGTGCTGATGGCAAAGAGGATCGTGTACGGCCACACGTAGACTGACGTCGCGATGCCGCAGTATTCCATCGCGAATAATGCGGCGCCGCATGCGCTTGGAATGACAAGGAATCGCGTGTAAAAATCTATTGCGACAACAGGCAAGCGTCAAGGGAGGAGGAAACCCATGAGGCGATGGGATGCAATATACCGAGCCATATAAAGTACATGGACAGCTCAGGGCCAAAATACGAGTGAATCGATTCGAAAGGGATCGCATACAGAGGCGCTGCATGCCATTTTTTTATCAAGTGATGGCGTGCGTCTTCGTTGTGCAGGGGAAACAGCGATACCTGCACGACGTGGGTTTGTTATAACGAGTGATCGTGAATGGCAGCGTACTTTCAGGTGTGCTTGAAGCTGCGGAAACAACTTTTCTTGCGCATGGAACGCCAACTCGAGATTCTCATCGCCGAGGTAAAGGTTGTCGTCCACAGTCGCTTCACGCAACGTCGCCAAGATGACCTGCTGCGTCCGCGCTGACCCAGGAAGTGTGTGAACAAACTTGTACTCGTCAGGGAGCGACGCGGCGATCTTTTCCTCCACGGATGCCGCACTGATCCCAAGCAGGAGCAAGTACGTGTGAGTGAGCGTCGTCGTCTTGTCATTCCCGACACGAATCAACTCAACGTCAAGGCCCTTGTCCTTCATGACGTGTGCGAATGTTGCGAGGCGCTCCACTTGATGCTCGGGCACATGGCTCGGGTCGTCCGCTGCCACGTGGACTTGGGCTTGGACGCAGATCTCGTGCATAATGTGAAAC